TCACACGAAGCTCCTCCCCTCGCCTGCTTGCTAGAGCATCTGTCGTGGAGGCTCGCCAGCTTGGTGGCGCATGCATGGAGCTCGACGGCACGACCATCGCAATCTCTGCCCTGTAGTTCGGCATCGAAGTCATCGATGACGGGCTCAGAACGAATGGATAAGAACAATTCGGTGGGAAGCAAGTGGGGATTTCTGTCGCAGGGTAGAGAGATGGAGAGCTTAGAGGGAGCATGCCCGTTACCTGTTGGGCCCAAACCGCTACGCAGACCCGGGACGTGGCATCCACCCGTTCGGACGCCTTACACAGAGCATTACCGTTTGTGTGTGTGTGTGTGTGTGTGGTGGGGGGACCGAAGAAAAATGTTTATTGCTAGATGCAGTCCTATTTTCATCCACTTGGCAGGGTTTCCAGAGATTCTGGAGAGAATCATGACCAATCCACCCATCCAAAAGGCCATATAAATAATAATGTAATAATAGTTGTTGGCGTCTATATTTTTTAAGGTTCGATAAAATCTTGTCCTAAACTACAAGTGTGACGGGAGGAAGTATGATTCCCCATCCATGCATGCCTTGCATAATAATCTCTAAAAAACTTGCTTCTTCAACTGCGGTATGTATAATTAACGTGGTTAACACAATAGTACAAGGTTGAGTGGGCGCACCTTCACCCAACCTGAACCTGTACAACGAAGACCCAACTCCAAATAATAATAATAATAACTTAGATAGACCAACTAATAAAACTAAAAAAAAGGCTGAAGATATGTGAACCGATGGAATGGATCGAAAGCGAGCAAAAGACCAGCGCCACCACCTAAATCACTTGCCGCATCCGCCATGGCAAATTGAGAGGATTATGATGAGGATCAGTGCGACGATGATGCCGAGGACGATGAGCTTCATCTTCATGTTCTGGTACCACATCTTGCGTCGCAACCGCGCGCCATCCCGCCTGAAATCAGCAGCCTGAAACAAACAGAGGAGCCAATGTTCCGTTTCAGTTCTTCCCTTCTCTTCTGACACCGGCAAGTTACTGATTACTAAGTTGTTACGATATAAACACTGACCCCCTCGTGGAGCTGCTCTGTCCTTGTGACAAGCCCGTCGATCTGTATTCCGCGATCAATGGCCTAAAATATTTCAATCAAATTGCTCATTCAGAAATAGTCAAGTCCAAAGCCCAAAGATAACTAAAGAATAAAAAGCAGAATTATTGAAGGTTTCAGTCAAGGTAAGCAGATGCAGGAGTCCATCATCAGGTCATGCATGCCTGGGAAAGCATATACTGATATATGTTGGTTATTACCTTGTCAATGTTTTCCATCATGATGCTTTTCACTTCATCGACCTGAGCCTTCACTTTGGACAGCTTACTCACCTCCTCTGGGTGATCCGTACAGTACTGCATCTGATCTCTGAGCCTCGGCCTGTATTGCCAGTCCCCAAGCATGCCCAACACAGTGAGAAATAAAAAAGGTAGTGTACAGTATTGGAAAATGCATCTAAAAGTCTGAAAAAATTCTTGTTCTTGCAGGCGAAGAATAAGAATTATTATTACCCAAAATCTCGGGTGAGACTGTTGGCTGTAGCCGTTGCTGCTTTGCCCCCTGCATATCTCTTGTTGAAGTCCTCCTTGATCATCTCCAGGAAGGCCATAGGAATCTGCCGCCCAGCTGACTCGGTTGCGACAACGCAGAATGCTGCAATTTGATTTCAGTTATTAACCAAGGTGGAGTTGAGCAAACATAAATAACCTTTCTGTGCATCTTCCTGTATTATCCCAAAAAGAGACATTCCAGCTTCCTATGCTAAATGGTGGTACACAATTTTGCCCTGAAGACTTTCAGTTATAAATAACCTTTCAGCTCTGCTTTATACAGCTCTGTTATATGTTCAGTTTCAGTCAACTATAGCAAGGTAGGACTGTACTTCATATATATGCTAACAATAAATTAAACAGAACATGAATTCTGTGACTCGGGGGATAACTTAGCATGAAGGGAAGGAATAATCATGTTACTGACAGAAAAGATTTAAAGGTGTGCAATAAAAGGAGCATCAGCATACTTTCTTAGTAAAGAATAATAAGTTTCGCACCGAAGCTTCAATTGAAATGTTGGAAATAAATTATTGATATTGTTAATAAAATTCTATCTCATCATGATCACCAAGTCTAACTAACTGCCCAATTCAAAATGCTCTTGTAAGTGCTCTGCTAGAAACTCTGACTGAATACAACAGGAAACAAGTGATTTATCATATATCAGTTATATGTTAAACCGGTAGAGTTGTTGTGCAAACACCGCCCAAACGATAAACAACAAGTAGAGCTAATACAGTGGACAGATGATATCCTAAACAAATGTTAGCAGTCGATTTTCATTAAATTTCAAATTCAAAGAAATAGAAGGAACACAAGAAAGGCAAGATTAGGAGTTTATTAGTTAGTAGGATAACATAACATGACGAAGTAGCATCAAGTGAAATCGTGAATGAAGTCAGTGGCCGGTCAAACTTTATTGTACCCAAGATTTGAGGCTGAAATTTAAGATTTATGCTTTGCAAAAACACAAAACAACGGATGCATCTGAACTCTGGTTGGTGGTGTGGATGAGCCACGTACCGTATCCGTCGCTGACGAGGAAGTTGAAGGTGTGGCCGTCGCAGGTGTAGGTGAATCGGTTGTTCCCCGCCGGCAGCTTGTGCAGGCACTGCGCGGCGATGTCCCGGAAGTTGCCCGTGTAGGACGTGTGCTCCGCCACCGCCACCGTGCCCCGCGCCACCATGGCGTAGATGAGCGCCCCGGTAGCTCTCTCCGGCGGCTGCGCCATCGATCCCAGCTGTCGTCGATCGTCTTCTCCTCCGATCGACCAGCTGTCGTGTACGCCCCTGAGGCCCTGACCTGACGAGAAGGAAGAAACAGAGAAGCTGATCTGACGACGACCGATGTCTTAAGCTTAGAGGCCAAGACAATGGTGGTGGTGGTCTTTACAATGTGTAAGTACTCCTACCAATTAGTTTAATGAATCCATCCACGCAAGGAAGCTGCTATGTGTGTGTCTTGGTCGAAAGGAGACGCCGCGTTGGAAGAACTCTATCCAACTTGTCAAGGGTTCTAGATAGATGGAAACCAAAAGCTCCTGCCCTGCGATCTGTTGACTGTTGGACTTGTGCACGAGTATTAAAGCAGATACGAGAGATCACAACCGTCCGTCCATTGACTAGGTAGCGGTTGCTTTGGTTTGGATTTGACGAAGAAAGTCGCAATCCCAATTTCCCCGCGCCACCTTGGACGACTTGCCTTGTTGAGGCGGCCGGCAACTAAGGGATTTTTCTCATACTCCTTCCTAAAATACAATCTCATCCATATGCATGTATATATCTTTTAAATAAACACTATCCATATATGGTTTTTCAAACATCACCCTGCCTAAAATACAATCTCATCCATATGCATGTATATATCTTTTAAATAAACACTATCCATATATGGTTTTTCAAACATCACCCTGCCTAAAATTATCCATGTAATTGATACACGATCAAATAGCATGTATGCATATTTTTAAACTGTCTTACTAGAAAATTATATTAAGCAAGTTAACAACCCAACTAAGTAATTAGGTGAAAGGCAAGTTAGCCTCTTAACATATACTCTTTATTTGGTTCTAAACTTTGGATGCATATCTTGTATTTCAGGACAGAGTGAGTAGATTTGCCAGGGATTTTTTTGAACGGCTCTGCTCTGAGTCCTCCGTGGCAAGGTGAAGCCTCACAAACACAACAGAAGAAACAGCTCCGTGAGTCCTATGCTGAAGTAGCTTCTCCGTGCGGTTGAGATGCAGAGTCATTTTTTGAAAATTTTATATGAAAATGACAAAATTCATATGCATGTGTACTAGAAGACAAAAAAACCAAGAATTTTGTCTTCTAGTGCATGTATAAGTGGAAAAAACATCTTAGGTGTATTCCAAGCAATAACTTTTTTTTTTACTTCAAACGATGTATTTCTAAAATTTTATATAGATTGAACAACATAAAATTAGTATTACTAGATTTATCACACTCATAATCGATAATTGTTTTTATTCAAGATAATATTTTATACATATTTTTAGTCCATGTGCCATAATGGAAACCGTGTCGATGCTCTAATGGAGTTGTTATATTTCCGATTTGAGAAAGTAGTTAGCTATTTTGACAACACCAAGAAAGCATATATATTAGTCAAAGAGAAGGAATCAAATCAATACCTCGTTTTCTCAGCGAGAGATCAACATGCAGTATTTTCTCAGCAACTCACTGGAACGTGCATTTTCTTTGTTTTGGAATGAAGAAACACGCACAGCACTGGTACTAATCAACAGAATTAGCCTGCTGGTCTGAGAGCCCTGTATATAAGGTGTAGTTTGAAAAAACCGGAACGACTTACAATTTAGAACAGATGTTACAATTTACATCAGAGGGAGGGAGTAGTAACTAGATAAGCAGCGAACTGTCAAGTCAAGCGAGGGCAAGCTTCAATTCCAAATGTTGCTCATCAGATATTCAGATGCCTGCACATAATACAAGGACATTCTCCAACCAAGTGTCATTCAGAGTTCACACCTGACACTGCATCCGATACTTCAGGCTACCAGTTGCTACCAGAACACTGAACAAATAAGTGGATTTTCTCGGCAACTCATATCAAGCTTCACTATCCTTCACAACATGGGCAGCTAAAACTAAGCTAAAATATATTGATCACAGGGTGGCCAGGTTTAGACCTTGGATACATAGGGAGTCTCACATGTAATGTGGAGTGGAGATACAACAGGGCTCTACAGACGATTAATGTGGTAGTACAACAGCAAGGTAGCACGGGTTAAATGGCACCTACTCCGGCTGCCTGGCAAAACGGCGACCAACTACAAGTCAAAACGGACCTATATTGTCGCTAAAAGCAGCAGCAGTCCATGCATGTGTATCATATATAGCTGAGTCAGAGGCATCCGCTACTTGCACTGCCTTGGGTGGAACTTCTCCTCCGACAGCAATGACGTGATCAGCCGCTGCAGCCGTGCAGCTCCGCGGCCAGGCTCAAGGAGGCTGGTGTTTCCAATCACTGAGCAAGGGTCACTCCCGTTCTCCCGTGTTCCAGCACACCAGCCTCCTGGAGTCGGCATGTCTACGCCACGGCTCAGAATCTCCTCATCTATCTTGTCCAGCACCGGATCGTCCTCGTGGAACTTCCGAGCGAACGGCGCGTCGCTGGCAACCATCCTGTCCAAGTCCTCGACCGTCAGGTAGTGTGGGTGCTGCTTCGGAGGGTTGTCCCATGAGATGTAATGCAGGTCATGGTTCACAGTTGTGTTCTTGAATTCGTCGGCGTTGCAGACCACAGTGTGGAAGTATCCTTCAGGCGAGGAGATGAAATTGGAATAGTACATGAGCACTGTGCGAGGTAGGTTATCCCAGCCCCATATGCAGTATTCAACAAAGGGCCTAGACAGTGCCATCCAAGCAGAACCTGCAATGTTAAGGGGTCATCAGGTGCCTCTATATCTAAAAGATCCAAAGATTCAAAATCAACACTTATTCCCTAGTAAGGTTCAAACTAATAAAGCTAGCCTCATTCCATAAAAGTTCTCAAAGATATTACTAGTCCAGCTGGTTTTAAAAGCAAGAATAAAGTTCGTATAATTTCCTTGCAGTAGTTATCGAAGAAAGCAATTGTTGCTAAGATTTGCTCCTCAGTAGTGATGAATGCTCGTTGCAGATGTCAGCTCCACATTTTTACAACCTCTGCTTATCTGTTTAAGCTGTCTGGACCTAGAGCATTTTTATCTGAGTTGTGGTAACTGTTTAAGAAATGGGAATCGATTAATTTCCTGCCTAGACAGAAGCCGAAAGTTCTGTTTTTGTGGGGGTGGCTAAGCATGTATAATGGATGTGAAGGGCACCGCATTAAGGAAAAGCTATATTTTTGTTTTATGGCAAGTTCATTGGCACAGCTTCTGAATTTAGTAACTGACATAGATGCCTGTTTAAGCTGTCTGGGCCTACAGTATTTATGTATGAGCTGTAGTAACTGCTTAAGAAACTGGAATCAATTAATTTCCTGCCTAGACAGAAGCAGAAAGCTCTTTTTTGGGGGTGGCTAAGCATGGATAATGGATATAAAAACTGAGCACCATATTATATTAAGGAAAAACTTGTTTTTTGTGGAAAGTTCATTGACACAGTTTCTGAACTTAGTAACTGACACATAAAACAAGGATAACCTTTCAAATTAATGACAACTAACATATGCATCAGGTGAGTAATCTAGCTTGGAATGCCTTGGTTGGTTTCCAAAACAGGAGGTCATCTTTATATATAAATAAATGTGTTGCCATGCAAATGTTGTCTACTACAGGCAACAAACAAATAAAATCCCAAATGTTTGTTCCAGAAATCAGATAAAACAAAATAAGATTATATAGATGAAAAGGTAATTTTACCAAGGAGAGTTTCAGGCAGCGATATATTGCACTGTACAAACAAAGAAGCTAGAAAAATACCACATCTGTATGCATTATTTTGTACAACACCTAAGGTAAGCTGCTGACTGAAATTTATTGACATACTAAAAATTAATTTAAGTTGGTGACAACCCAATCCCTGTATCAAATTCACACTTAAAAATTCTGAACCGGTCACCACAACTAGACATGTCAAGCTATGTTTTGACATGTGGAGGGGATCCAAGAGTATGCAGTCTGAAGGTTTCAACAACATCACATTCAATTATATAAAAAACCATTTACGAAATTCTTACAACTGTGACAAGGGCATATGAAAAAATGTAGCCAAGTAGATCGATTGCAAGATTAAGCTATGAGCTGTTATAGTAATCTGCACAAATGTATGGTGAATTGTAGACGATTCTTTGTGTTAAGACTCGGTAGAATGTGAATCTTTAGAGTAGCAGGTCAGATCGGATGGAAACATACCAGTGAAGAGCTTGAATGCTGTAGGGACGCTCCGCCTCTGTGGAATCCAGAACACGTCGGCCTTCTTCTTCATGTAGAGCCCTGGATCAATGATGACCGGCTTTGCCCTCTGAAACCTATATATATGCCATCAGAAACAAGCAAGGTAGAGTAGAAATTGCGCTGAATCAGCACCACCCTTCAGAGATTGATGAGTGAAGAAAAATCATGAAGGAAGCAGGGGAGCACGTACTCCTTCCATCCAATGTCGCTGGTGTGATCGATGAAGTTGAGATCGCGCGGCAGCTTGGAGAATACATGTATCAGATCTGCACCGGCAAGTTTGGAAGTGAAGAAGCCAACCCAAGGCGGGGCTTTTGTAGATTAGAAATGATGACTTGGATGATGAAGAAGAAAGGGAGGCACACTTACCATCCTGCGTGACGAGCGGGTAATCGGAGGCGGAGAGGTTGATGAACCAATCCCAGTGTGAGCCGCCGTCGCCGGCGTGGCCCCACAAGAAGGCGGCGGCGGCGTGGAGCGTGTTGGCGACCATGGTGGGTCCGCGGTAGGTGACGAGGTTAGCACGGTCGACGACGCGCACGTTGGCTGCGGCGGCGATGGCGGGGTGGGAAGCGAGGTCGGCGGCGAGGCTCCTGCGGTCGGAGTCGGGCGCCTCGGCATCGAGGTGCAGGATGTAGCGGTTCCTGGGGTGGTAGAGCGCGAGGAGGACGCGGCGGAGCGCAGAGGCGTCCCCCGCGGATCCGGAGATGAGGAAGGCGATGCGGGGCGGCGAGGCCTCGGCGGTGGGGGACGGCGGGGAGGGGGACAGCTTGTGCTCCACGAAGAGCGACGAGGAGGAGGGCGCGGAGGTGGAGGGGAAGGGCGAGGGGAAGGTGGTGAGCGCGACGAGGAGGAGGAGAGAGAGCGCGGAGCCGATGGCCAGAGGGAGCAGCCAGCGGCGGTCGACGGCGGCGTGGAGGGAGTGCGCGAGGGGCTTCATCGCCGGCGGTGGGGTGGGGTGGGGGGGCCCAGGTAGCAGCTTGTGCCGGGCGGCGCTTTGCTTTGCTTTGCTATCTAGGAGTAGTGGAGTACTTTGGAGCCTGCAGGGGTTTGGGTGGTTGACCTGTCCACGTACTTTACGTTTCAAATAATTTTTTTTTTTTTGAAATCAACACTCCTGCCGAACACTATTAAACGAAGTTCTTTACTTAATGCGAATGTTCGGAGGACGTCCCCGCAGTTTGAGTTTTTCTTTTTCCTTTTTAATAACACGCATGCTATTTATGTTCAAATAAGAAACTTATAGCTAATTGAGGGTAGCTTAACTTATTAGACTTTTATATGATGACACCCAAATGGACGGTTCTAAATTTATCACGTTCATATGGGTAAGTATATATACGTAGCATTCTATGGCCCCGTTCGGATGGTGCAAAAATTACACCGTTCACGACTGATTTTCTTTCACAGATTCATCCAAATTCCTTCGAGCGAATGGGGCATATATATAAAGAGATCGTGATAAATAATAATTAATAATTACGTAGCATTCTATATATAAAGAGATTGTGATAAATAATAATTAAACCGCTGGAAAAGCATTGACAACAAATTGTCTGGATACATCCTCCTAAAGCACAAGGGTTTTTGTTACAGGTAGCTAAAGCCAAAGGACATGCGTTACTTGTGACTACATGAAACGTCATTACGTATACCTATGAAGCACTCCTATTTAGCATAATACCTTCAGTTCCTCCTTGCTCGAAAAGGAACAAATTCAGTACACGAAACGTCATCGTTTACGTATGTATACCTCTGAACAACTTCCACAAGAAATCTGTGACTACAAACAAATTTGTCCTGATTAGCTAGTGTCCGGTTGCATTAGCATTGCCATTTGCCAGCCACCTAGTGCATTCTTCACCACCCAAAAGAGAGAGAGAGAGAGAGAAAAAGGGCCCTTCCAGATCGTGCAAAGCGGCACAAGTGGAGTGGAGTGCAGCGAAGAAACCGGTCCAAGCGTCGTCATCATCAACTGCTAACTGAAGCCTCGTCTCGTATGCATGAAGGCATCAGACACATTAGCAACATGAAGGCCTCTTCCTCCAGCGACGGCCAACAGACGACGACGAGCAAGGCGCGGCAGATGAATGTACATATGCACCAGGGGACCACTCTGTGTGTAATCATGGAATAAAGTGACATGACACGTGAACAAAAGTTTCCCCAGCTCCTCTGTTTTCCTTGCAAACAACGTAAAGTTTCAGATGTCGCATGGGATATTCGGATACTAATAAAAAAATAAATTACGAAATCCGTCAATACTAATAAAAAAACAAATTACAGATTCCGTCAGTGATCCACGAGACGAATTTATTAAGCCTAATTAATCTATCATTAGCACATGTTTACGGTAGCACACACTGTCAAATCATGGACTAATTAGACTTAAAAGATTCGTCTCGCAAATTAGTCGCAAGTTGTGCAATTAGTTTCGTAATTAGTCTATATTTAATACTCTATACATATGTCTAAATATTTGATGTGACAAAATATTTTAGGAGCGCGCCTAAAGAACCAAACGGGGCCTTACTGTGATCTCTTTCTGGTAACAAATTTACCATGTCAGGACTGGTCATTTCTCCTTTTGAACATGATGACTGACTCAGCAGCAGGATCCTATCTTACCAACAAACTTAAAGCGCTGTTCGTTTATCTTATAATCCGTTTTTTTAGCTTGTTTTTTTAATAATAGTTTTTCTCTCACAATAATTTAACCGTAACAATGTTTCGATTTGTTTTTTCAGCGAAACGAACGGGGCTATATCAGACAGACAACAGAAGCATTCCCATCTGATTGTTCAGTCCTGTCATTGGCGCCTTCGACGACGGACCAGGAGGCGCTGCCCCATTGCCCGTCTCAGGTCTCTCTGTCGGGCAAGTATACCTTTACTCGCCAACACATAGATGTCCTTGTTGTCGTCCTCACCAAACGTGTATATGTAGCCAATCGACGGGAGAGGTCTCCCAGCAGCAGTGTCACAGGGTATCGGAGAGTCCTTGGAGCAGCTGAAGGGGATCAGAGTGGAGGTCTCAGGGGTCTCTGCGGCGGTCCACATGGCCGAAGCGTACTGGTCAGCATACAAATACCTGAAATAGAACAGATTGGTCTGTACAAAATGAGTTCCGAATGAAGGAACACAATGGACGTATCGAGATAGCAGTGTTGATCGAATGATGTTGATGATGATTCCTTCCATACAAGCAGGGATCAGTGGACCCTCTATATATAGACATAACCTCCCATGATTGATGCCGACCCAATATTCTTATTGACATCAGAATCAGAATGACTGTATCCTATGATTGGAGGAATGGCGTTTATGGAGCTGAGTGAGGTGTTTCCTCCAGGTGCCCACTGTGGATGATAAACCAGTGGACCCTCGAGCGCACGCCATCCATAGTTTCCGCCTTTGGAGATCAAGTCTACTTCTTCGTATTCATCCTACACGGTTAACGTCGTCCAAACACAAATGAAGCTGTTTACATACATATTTAGTTCGTCAACAATGACTAGAAAGCAATGAATCCTTGACTCCAATCAGATAAGGTAAACTAATCAAGCAAGTCAAAATTAGTAACATGGATTACTGAGGCTCTTGAATGGTGCCTGCCCAACATCTCCACAGTAGAAGTAGGAAGGCCTCTCAGAATCAAAGCTGCATCTCCACGGGTTTCTAAAGACCCAATGCCCAAATTTCTGGTACTAACTCGCTATCATCAGAATACGGGTTGTCTTTTGGAACAGAGTAGTTGCCCCACAAACTACGAGATCTAGGTGGAGATGAAAGGAGAGGGGCAGTGGTCTCTGACCGTTAGAGGGTTTGGTGGAGCTGCTGGAGCCGTCCATCATGTCGGTGATGTTGCCGGAGGGCGTCGGGTGATGTAGCGGTCGTAGGTACGGTCCAGTGGCGGCGGCGAACCTCGTGGTGGTGCTTTCCATCACTGGCTGCGCACCCTCTCTAGATCGGTGTTAGGGTTTTGTCGGTGGGAACTGTAGCTCGGTCAACCTCGTGAAGAGAGCCGCCGGTCCCCACCACTCTTTATTGCGCAGTGTGACGGGGGCCCACCAACCATGTAGGGTTAGGCGTCCCCGATCAGGGCGTGGATCCAAATGCCCAATTGGCCGTTGGTTAGAGATCATCTAACGTTCTCCCCTTTGATCTCATCTTATGATTTAATCTCAACTTACTTACTTTATCTTGTTCCCATTCCATCACAGATCAGTGCATAGAGCGTGCTTCATCGTCACGGTCAGTTGCCATTAGATTAAACAGCTACAATGCACCTCTCTGTTTTGAAACAGATTCTCAACTAGGCCCTTATTGTACAGGAATCATAGGTTTTCCCTTAAACCCATACCGGCTAAGTGTTCTCTGAACACGCTGGGTGGTAAGCCTTTTGTAAGTGGATCCGCGAGCATCTTTTCTATTCTTATATGCTCAAGACTAATTATATGATCCCGAACTTTGTTTTTTATAACATAATACTTCATGTCAATGTATTTGGCAGCACCACTCGATTTATTGTTGTGAGCATAACATACTGCTGGATTATTATCGCAGTATAACTTGAGTGATTTATGTATATCGTCTACCACTTTCAACCCATGCATGAATTTCTTCAGCCAATTCACCTGCCCTGTGGCCTCATAACATGCTACAAACTAGACATACATTGTGGACGATGTAGTAACGGTTTGCTTTGAGCTTTTCCACAATATAGCTCCTCCTGCGAGAGTAAATATGTATCCTGACGTTGATTTTCTGTCATCTCCCGCATAATTAGAATCTCTATACCCCTCTATGTGCAGGGAATCAAATCTTTTGTATGTTAGCATGAGACCCTTCGTACCTTACAGGTAACGCAAAACTTTCTTTACTAATTTTCCAGTGTTCTATTCCTAGATTACTCTGATATCTGCCAAGTAACCCGGTAACAAATGCTAAGTCAGAGCGAGTACACACTTGAGCATACTGTAAACTTTCAACAGCTGAACTATATGAAACCGCTTTCATTTGATCGATCTCATATTGGTCCTGGAACATTGAAATTCCCCATATCTATCGCCCTTGACTATGGGAGCAGGTGAAGACTTACAATTTTGCATACTGTATTTCTTTAGAACATTTTCTAAGTATGCCTTTTGTGATAATCCTAAAACCCCCTTTTCTCTATCTCAGTGAATCTCTATTTCTAGGACGAACGAAGCTTCATCGAGATCCTTCATATCAAACTTTGAGGACAAGAACTTCTTTGTTTTTAGTAGTAGATTAACATCACTGCTAGCGAGCAAGATGTCATCCACATACAAGACTAGGAAAATGTATTTCCCATTCTTGAACTTTGCATAAACGCAATTCTCCTCTATATTTTCTTGAAACCTAAACTTTCTTATTGAATTATCAAACTTTAAATACTATCGTCTTGAATCTTATTTTAATCCGTAAATGGATTTCTTCAGGCGGCATCCCATATGTTCTTTTTCTTCCACAACAAAACCTTTCGGTTGTGTTATATAAATATTTTCCTCTAGATCCCATTTAGGAATGCCGTCTTTACATCCATCTGATGTAATTCTAAATCGTAATGTGATACAAGCGCTATTATGATTCTAAAAGAATCCTTACATGAGACTGGAGAAAATGTCTCATTGTAATCAATGCCTTCTTTTTACGTGAAACCTTTCGCCACAAGTCACGCTTTAAACCTTTCTATATTTTCTTTGGAGTCATGTTTAGTTTATGGACTCATTTACAGCCTACTGTCTTGGCTCCTTTAGGAAATATTTCTAAGTTTCAAACACCGTTGGTTTTCATTGATTTTATTTCATTTTCCATGGCTTCAACCACTTGGATGAGTGAGCGCTTCTCATGGCTTCTTCAAATAAGATGGGATCACCTCCATTTGAAATTCCTCACATTCATAAACTTCGTAGTCATCAGGAATGACTGATCTCCTGACTCTTTGAGACCTTCTAGGAGCCTCGTTAGATGACGCTTGTTCTATATGAGGCTGTTGTTGCTCTTCCTCATGTGTCACAATGGGTTCTTGGGATCTTGAAGGACATGTTCCTCATATTTATTCATTGTTATCATAGGAGAACTAACAATAGGTGTTATTACTACAGTATCTTGCACTGTTGGTATAACAACAACAGCTAGCATGAAGAATGGCTCGAACCATAGGAGTGGGGACGTATATCCGCTTCTCTTCAAAACTAATTTCTCGCGCTACCATGCTCCCCCTGATCAAATCATCCTCCAAGAAGACAACATGTCTTATTTACAAACTTTGTTTGTCTATCAGGACAATAGAAGCGATAACCTTTTGACTTTTCTGGATAGCCAATGAAATGACAACTGACTATCTTGGAGTCCAGCTTCTCTATGTTTGGGTTAAATACTTTTGCCTCAGCTAGACAACCCCACACACATAAATAGTTTAGTGAGGGTTCCTTTCCTGTCCACAACTCATACGGTGTTTTGGGCACCGACTTACTTGGCACTCGATTAAGAATATGAATGGCGATTTTCAACGCCTCCATCCATAAACTTATCGGTAAAGTAGAGTAACTTATCATGCTTCTCACCATATCCATTAAGGTACGGTTGCGTCTTTCAGCTACTCCATTCTGCTGAGGCTCGCCCGGTGTAGAATACTAGGCTATTATGCCATTTTCCTGTAAAAACCTTGCAAAGGGTCCAGAAACTTGGCCATATGGGGTGTGTCGACTGTAGTACTCTCCTCCATGGTCGGACCTTACTACCGTAATCTTTAAATTGTGCTGATTTTCTACTTCAGCCTTGAATATTTTAAAGTTATCCAATGCTTCCGATCTTTCCTTAATTGGATAAATATAGCCAAAAACCAGAGTAGTCATCTGTGAATGTTATAAATGAATCATAACCATCCACACTCTTCACAGGAAAAGGACCACAGATGTCTGTGTGAACTATTTCTAAAATTCCTACGTTTCGTTTAGCATCTTTCTTTATTTCCTTAACATACTTTTCTTTTATGCAATCTATGCATTGTTCTAAATCTAAAAATTCTAAAGGCGAAAGAATTGATTTCTTAATCAATCGCTCTATTCTCCTCCTCGAAATATGGCCTAAACGACAGTGCCATAATTTTGAAGATACATCATGCACTCTCTTCCGCTTATTTGTTGCATTTATAGACGAAGAGACATTCTCATTCTCGGTACTTACATCATTCACATTCTCAGAAAGTGATAATAAATAAAACTTGTCTTGTTGGAAGGCAAGACCAACATACTTATTATTAATCACAATCCTACATTTGCCATTACCAAAATGGCAATCATATCCATCATCATGTAAACGTGAAACACTTATTAAGTTTCTTCGCAAAGAGGATACATAAAGAATATCTGAAAGCTGCAGTCTAAAACCATCATCTAATTCTAGAGATAGATCTCCAATGGCTTCAACTTCAGCTTCAACTCCATTTACAACTTTAATTCTTCTTTCTCCTCTTTGCAGGGTCCTCATACGGAATTCTTGTAATGAATTTGCAACATGAACAGTTACACCTGAATCAATCCACCAAGTAGATTTTGCATAACTTAAATACAAGGATTCATCTATGAATGTAATAAAATTCTCACCTCTTTAGAAGGTTTTTCAGAAAGTCTGGACAGTCCCTCTGGTAGTGTCCATGCTTCTTACACCATTTACACTGATCCTTCTCAACTTGAGTATTATTGTTCTTCGGATGGTGGTTATTCTGAGGGGCTTTCCCTTGAGGTTTGGCATTTTTATTGAAGTTCTTCTTCTTATTGTCCTTCACAAGGTTAACAAAGTCACCCTATAAGGATTTTAGCCTCTCCTCTTCTTGAACACACATTGCGATGAGCTTCTCTATATCCCACTTATCGGGCTACATGTGTGTAATTAACAACAAATGTTTCATATTCCTTCGGCAAGGAAGCAAAAACCAAATGAATCAGGAACTCATCTTTGAGCCCCAAATCTATTGGCTTGAGCTTGGATGCCGTGTTGCTCATCTTCAATATGTGTTCTCTTATACCTCCACCAGAATATTTCTCATTGAATAATTTCTTTATCAAGGTGCAAGCATAAGCCTTTGAAGAGCCAGTAAACTGACTCTCTACTTTCTTAAGATACTTGGTGACGGTATCACAATCTAGGATTGATCCCCTTATAGCATCTGAGATAATGGACTTGGCCACCATCAAGCACTTGCGGTTCGAGATGTCCCATTTCTTCCGATCAAGATCGTATTTCATTCTAACTTCTGCATGATCTCGCTTTCGAGCATTGAAATCAGCATCAGTCTTATTTTCTGTCCTCACCGGGTCCTCTGACACAGTAGGACACGGAGAGGTAAGTGCTAAGTCATTCTCGAACAGCGCAAGTGTGAGCTCATATTTTTCATTTTCTCGCTGTAGTTGCCCCCTTCAAGAGGCGGAATATGCGAGATAAAAGCCATTGGGTTGAGTCCTGAAAAACAGTGTCAGAGAAAGTGAGAAAACATAACAAAATAATTGCATGCCTTAATTTAACGTTGGTCAAAATTAAAACATACAACTTCTTCTACATTAATTCTACATCACCGTTGGACAGAAAATAGAATTAATGCATAAACTCATAAATCAAACATTTATAATATTGCTATCAACAACTTTGGTCAGAAAATAGCAAAATCATAAATTTACTGAAACTTATAACTACTCCTCAAAATTAAATCCTTCCGTTGGTTTGAATTTAATTAGAAGATCATAAACATCATCATTTGTAGCGAAAACATGAAAAATATTTTATCTACTTTTCAGAAGCATTTTACTGTACTCATCTATTATCTAAAAAGATTATTCCGTTGGTTCAAATTTTGACAGAGATTTAGCATCAAAACATAGAGAAACAACATCAAAATGCTTCTGAAAATGAATAATACTAAAAAACATTGAGTACTGTTCCTTTAGCCCGCCCAACACAGTAATAAAAAGAAGACTGAGAACAAGACGGCCAAAGAAGAAGCAGCATGCGCGCAAGACCCTCGGCGTGCCCAGCACGGTCCATGTCAAAGAAGCGCACACGCAGCTCGCGGCGCCCCCCGCCGCCAAAGCCGTAATTCTGGGCCTGGGCCGGGAAAGTGCCTTCCCGCCTGGGCTCATTCTGGTCCAGTGCGCTCGCAGCCGTCCATCTAGATCCGACGGTCAGGCGCCATTTTCAGGAGATCAAAACCCCCCGCCGGCCACGCCCCCAAACCCTAACCTCATTTCCCTTCCCTCTCCCTCTCTCAGCGCGAAGCAGAGCAGCGACGGCGCTCACTCGCACCGCAGCCGGAGGAATGAGGTCGGCGGCGCCGCCGCAGGTCCCCTCGCCGGTGCGTGCGTTCACCTGAGGGTGAGCGCGCCGCCGTCGAGCGGTCTTGCTGCGGTGCCCTGCGCCCAATCCCGGTAGGGTAGACGCGGCGGCGAGGCCGCTCCCTCTGGTGACTCCCTCCCCGCGCCCTGGCAAAGCGGCGGCGCGGTCTTCTTCCCGTGCAAACGGCGGTGTCGACGGAGGCAAGAAAACCCAGGTAGGTTCCTCCCCTTCTCCGTCCTTTTCCCCTTTAGGGTTATGGTTAGGGTTTCATCCAGATCAAAGTCGAATCATCTCCTTCTAATTTCTTCTTCTTTTCTACCCCAAAGCCTAGATCTACGTCCCAGATTAGGCTCGACTCATACCATTGATAGAACTGTAGGATCAACTAGGCATAGATCTAGCAGGTACAACTTGACTAGAACATGATGAACAAACCCTAGAACATGAACTACGAGATCTAGGTGGAGAAGAAGGGAGAGGGGCAATGGTCTCTGACCGTCGAAGGGTTTGGTGGAGCTGCTGGAGCCGTCCATCGCGCCGGTGATGTTGCCAGAGGACGTCGGGTGATGTAGCGGTCGTAGGTACGGTCCAGTGGCGGCGGCGAACCTCGTGGTGGTGCTTCCCGTCACTGGCTGCGCACCCTCTCTAGATCGGTGTTGGGGTTTTGTTTGTGTGAACTGTAGCTCGGTCAACCTCATAAAGAGAGCCGCCGGCCCCCACCTTTCTTTATTGCGTAGTGTGACGGGGGCCCACCAACCATGTAGGGTTGGGCGCCCCCGATCAGGGCGCGGATCAAGTGCCCAATTGGCCGTGGTTGGAGATCATCTAACATATCTGACAGCTATCAGCCTGTTCGGTTGGTTGGTTCGTTTCGTTGCTGGTTCGTGAAGAAGTACTACTGACTGGTTTGTGTGAGAGAAAAATACTGTTCCGGCTAGAAATTTACGATCGTTTACGACAAGCCACAGCCAAACGAACAGGCTGTATATGTTTGACAGAGGAAACCAGCTAACCCATACTCAGCTCATATAGACTAATTTGAATTGACATCAATTTGATAAGTAACAAGTGCTTGCAAGTTTCATAGCCGTAGCCGTGGCCCAACAATTAATTCAGCATAAAAATGATAGCTAACAATGCTGCCTGTACGAAGATCCCGTCTCATCTAGTCATCTTTTGGCATCTTTGACTAACATGATAACTAATAGTACTGCCAATGCGTCCAATAATTTCCTAACTTATTAGTAGCTACCGCGGGCCCAAAAGAGAGAAATCATTGGAATAGTCTAACTCGAAGGTTTTGTTTGGTGGTTAGGACCAGAGTTTAGTACTGATGCGTCCGTTTTGTTTGCTAGTACTGATGCCAAAGCCTTCATGTAAAATAACTACGATGAAAAGCAAGATCAATTTATGGAGGTGAAAACACAGAAATTAAATGGAAATTTAATTCGAGCAAAGCAACAAACAAATAACAAAGAATTCCAATAATTAACAAGTCAGCAAATGACATAAAGACTCGAAGACTTACTCGGTGTACTGTCAACATCAAGCCTCATAATTTTTTGCCCAAAAGTGACTTTTTGTTCTGAGCGAAATTGAAAAGGGTCGCCCTTTCCTCCACCATCGCCCATCATGAGGTAGAGGTACCCATCGGTAGGACCAAACAGTACCTGTCCTCCATGTTGGGATGTGTAAGGTAGTCCCATTGTGAAAATCCTTCTAACCTCAGACGGATCAGCAGAAGTTGCCTGACAAAGCATTTCAAGAAGAATGTGAGCACTGAACAGATGAAGTTCAGGGAACATCAAGACAGTGATTGGAAGAGTATGTTCAGAGGAGCAAACCTCAGAAACATTTGCTGAGGAGCCTTTGGCCGAATATTCTGATACAACAACTTGATACTGGCACGGTTGAGCACCATTATCAGTATCAAGCTTCGAAGGATCGCAGCCCACATCAGAATTGCAGGAGCACCTTCCAGTGCAGCTGGGTGACTTTGTCCTATCACAGTTGTAAGAGGCAAACAAGCGACCATTGGTAGCAAAATTGGGATGAAACGCCATGCCCATGAGTCCAAACGCCGAATCAAAGTGCACCTGATCAGTCAGATCGACAAATGGGCTTGCTTCTTCGAATTGCAGAGTGCCCCCAGATCCTTCCCAGGTTGGCTGCCAAGGAAGATCATATTGGAGCCAGGTAGGACCCGTTATCAATCCTCTCGAGGCATATATCCCTTTAGGAGAGGGTGAAGGTTGGGTGAGGTTAAGGCGGTGTTTAAATCCATGGAGTAAAGTTTACGGACGTCACATCGGGATGTGACATGAGAGTGTTTGGATAGTAATAATAAAACAAATTACAGAAGTCCTCGGTAATCCGCGAGACGAATTTATTAAGCCTAATTAATCCATCATTAGCACGTGTTTACTATAGCACCACATTGTCAAATCATGGACTAATTAGGCTTAAAAAATTCATCTCGCAAATTAGTCAATTAATTATTTTTTAAGTCTATATTTAATATTCTATGCATGTGTCCAAACATCTGATGTGATAGGGAGTAAACTTTAGGGGGAGTAACTAAATAAGGGCTACAAACCTGCTGGCCTCAAATTAGCTCAAATTTAACTAAGTAGTTTATAGCAAATAATATTAGCATTTATGTGTCAAAAAATTATCATGAAAATATTCTATAACTAATATAATGGTATTTATTTTGTATTATAAATGTTAGTATTTTTTTTACACAAATTTAGTCAAAGTTCAAACTATTTGACTTCTCGAAAAATAAGAATTGTGTTCTTTTTGTGAACGGAGGTATATATAAGTGAGCCAAGGGATGGGATACAAAAATCCAAACAACCAATAGTGAGGCACGTTTGGTACAACTTGACAAACCCTGTTTTTCAAGCTTGTCCTACCAAACAGGTCCTTTTGAAAATAGCTTCTCCCTAAAATGTGTTTTTCAGCTTCTCTCATGTGCACAGAAACCTTGTGGAACTGAAAATACTAATTCTTCCAAGCTCTCTCTGCTATCTTCTCTTAGACTCTGTTTACCAACCATTTTTTTGAAAACACCCATTGCTCATGAAACTGAAGCAGAAAAAATTATTTTGCTTGTAAAACAGAATTGTGCCAAACAAGCTCTTAGCCTCGCCCTCGGGGTGCGGTGCGGGAGACGGAGCTCCCACCAAGTTTTAAACATGAACTCCCATGACTCAGGGCACTAACAATGCATAAACTACCATAGTTTCTATAGTCATTAATTAGATTACCATCTAAGCATTTTGTGATGCGACAAGCGATTTAATAAAGAGAGGGAAAAATATAGAAACTGTTTCTAAGGAGGAAACTGAGTCTTCACGTCTACGAAGAGTGTAGAAACCACTCATTACCATGTTGGGAGGGACAAACCGGTTTCTTCCTCTTTCCACCAGATCACGTGTGCCATTCCTAAATGTAGGATAGGTGCGGGTTTAGGTAGCATGCTGGAGTTGCTTTAAGTTTATAGTCAGTTCATGCATAAACTTCAACAAATTTTGTGAGAGAAGGAAGTGGATCATGTATTAATGCTGGAGAGCTAATTAATATATGGGTGAACTGAGACAAAAATCCATACAACCAACAGTGGGTTATATTATTAGAGCATATTTGGTATAACAACAGCGTCACAAAACTTTTTTTAGCTTCTCCCTACTAAACAGGTTATTTTAAAACAGCTTTTCCTTTAAAAGGTGAATCTTTTTTATTAAAGGTTTTAAAACAACTTTAGCGTTTGGCGGGAGGTCCTGTTCCAACCAAACTCGCGCCAGACTGTGTGAGAGAGATGGAGGTAAGGCCTCGTCTAGACCAAGTTTTAAACATGAACTTTTCGTTCCAATTACTCAATTATGGGCAGGCTAAAAGATGTCTCGTAATTTAAATCAAACATAGTTTAGTTATATTTTATCTACATTTAATACTCCATGCATATGTCCAAAGATTTGATGTGATGAAGAAAGTGAAAAAACTTGCAATCTAAACGAGGCTTAATAGAGAAATTCGGCTTAGCGCAACAGTGAAATGGCAGTAGGAGCCTGCCAGGATCCGTACCATCTTTATAGCGTGGACAGTTGAGATTTCTCAGGCACTGGGCGAGAATTTTGGAGTGCCGTGCTGCAAAAACGTAACCTGCAAATACAACTTCTTTTCTGAAAAGAGATTTGCTAAGCTTTTAAGAAAGCAATATTCTGCAAATACGGGTGCGATTGGTTTGCCGCAAAAAAATTACTATGCCAAAAATTTGGCAAGCCAAAATTAGATAAAAAATTTACCATGAATTTGACGAGCTAAATGTGAGTGATTGCTTACCGCCGGTCTGTCCCGTCCCCTCCACTCCACTAAGCTCTGCTGCCATATATATATATATATATATATATATATATATATATATATATATGTTCGGAGCCCACATACAGTCATATAGACAGCCCCACGGTGGTGATGGCAGGTATCAATGGATGGTCATGGCTAAAGCACATTGGTTAATTTGTTTCTGCATTCAGGAATCAGGACAACATATGGTGGCGTGCAGGGACGCAGGCGTGCGCGTATGTACTGTACCCACTGCCAATATACACAAGTATACTACACATGGTATACGCACTGCCAATATACACAAGTATACTACACATGGTATACGCAGATGGCCGATATGGTGATGCAATTGATTGAGAGAGGAAAGCAGACAGGCAGTTGGTCAGATTAAGATCCACTGTGTGTGTGTATATATATATATATATATATATATATATATATATATATATATATATATATATATATAGATAGAGAGGAGAGAGAGAGAGAGAGAGAGAGAGAGAGAGATGGAGAGAGAGACATGAGACTCCTGTGCATCCTGATATATATCTGATGAATGGAAATTGGATGGAGACATGAGCCTCATGCAACCCATATCTCTTCTCAAAGTCTGTCTACAGTCTACACATGGCTCAGTATTTTGGGCCCAAAACAATTGATTTCTTTTCTTTACACCTTCTTCCTTCTTACGATGTGCCGCCCTTGCTCACCGCCCCGCCCGCCGCCACACGGTAGGATCTCGTCGAAGCTCCAAGCAACGCACCCGGATAATAATAACACTGGTTGGCTGCTAGGGCTACTGCAGGATGGGGAGTCCGGATCTGGAACTCACGGTCAGGTCGCGACCAGATCCGGAACAGGGATCATTAATCGGGTGGGCAAGGTCCCGTATCAGGAGTAACTATGCAAACAAAACTTAGCATGATGGACATAATAACCTACCTTGGACTGCGATTATGATACAAGAGCTAGCTCTAACATCTCTATACGCACCGATCGATCTGATTCATCCATTATTACGTTCGTGTATCTGCAGAAATGGTACACAAATTTCAAACGAGTCCGGGCCCAAGAAATCAGAGATGAAGAAATAGGACATGGCTATTCTCTTTCTAAAAGGCAAATAGCAAAGGGATTAAAACAGTTTCTAGAGGAAGAAGATAGATCAATTTTGAGTTAAAAGAAGATACTATCTTTCCCTTTCCGCATGAAAAAGACTGATAAAAAGCTCCCTTTCCGCGTGAAAAAGATCGATAAAAAACTTCTTCGTTTCGTTGGTAGAACCCACGCCAACTCTTTTCTCTAAAAAAATAGAGAGATCTTTTGATAGTCTCACTTCTAAACTTTTTGGCGTTGAGACTTGAGATACATACATGAACCCGGCCGGGAGGCCGGGACGCCGTACAGAATTTCCTCATGATCTATCTCTGCTGCGAACATGATGTCGCCTGTGCGCCGATCGAGCCGCCACCATACCGGCCAGCCCGCCAGGCATGCACCTCCTCCACACCAGATAGGTCGTCTGTCCATCCGAGACTCGGGCCGGTGGTGGAACTCGACCATGGAGACTTTGAGATGGAGAGGGAAGGTTGTTGGACGATGGGAGGAAGCAGAGGAGAGGGCCTGGCGGCTGGCGCCCTGCGTCCTTTTATAAGCCGTCGTTTTTAGCTTATCAACAAAATAGTTTTTTTTTTTTGTGAATAAATCAATCCGATAAGCATGGCGATACGATTAAGCGAACAAATACTATCTTTAGCGTTTCGGGGGGTGGGGTCGCAAGAGGGGAATCGAAGATGATGAAATAGCTAGACGGCCATATATAACGATACATGCATACATGGACCACCACCACCACAAATTAAATAAATAAATAAAGATGCTGTCGTAGTACTTGGGCTGACGGCGCAGATTGACGTTGTTAATAATTAGGGTTAATCATCGAACAACTCTTCACGCCTTCTGTTCTAAATTGCAGGAGGTTTTGGCTTTTTGATATGGACCTAATAATAAATATATGATATGTCCGCGCCCTATGTTCGTTTCACTGAAATTTGGTTTATGCTGATTTATTGTGAGAGAAAAACACTGTTCGTTCGAATGAAGTAGTTGAAGGAACATAAATTAAAACGGAAGGTGACGTCTGCTCGTATCTAACGGCCGGTGGCGTACTCATTAACGTGAGTTAATTGCCAAAATTACTGTGGCCCTGCCGTTTCCTTATATCAATCAATAGTGCGCCCGTGGTGACCTAGACGAAGCAGACAACTGAGACAATTGTCCGCAGCGAGCACGAGTACACGTCTCACGAGTCACGAGACAATGGCATGCATGATGCATCCATGACTGCTTTGCGACTGTGACTGTGTGCCTGTACTCAGCTCAGGGGAGCGAGGCAGCTGTGTGACTGTGTCTCTGTATATATGGACCACATGGCTTGGAGCAACAAAAATATGCGTATGTTGACGGTGTCCGTGGACCGTGGCGAGTTATTTTTTTTTGTTCAATTCAATCAGACTAGAACATTAGGCGCCGCGCCTTGCATTGATTATTTTAGGAAAACTTATAAAGGGCGCCTTGCCTACATTTTTTTAGCAAAACTTATAACAACAAAACTATCTAACCAAAGTTATAGTAATGGTTTTCTTGATTCACAAAACTATGAAAGTAAATAAAATTTCTTTTAACATGAAGACAGTACGATTCTTGCACA